CTTCCTATGGGTAACCTGCCAGAACTCACTACCCAATATTCCTTACGTAAGAGAGAGGATATTTTTATATAAGAATCATACGCTAGACAACTTAAGCGGATGAACAACACACACACTAATAATGTAATTTCTTTAAAACAACGTGAGATTTAATTAAATTTACAATAAGTATCTCGTTGAAAAAGTATTAAAAATCAAAGTTTTACTGTAATTATACTATATAATTATTATAGTTATACTATAATTATGCACCCCCCTCCCCCACCCTATCGTGTGGTAACCAAATGAATGTAGTATTTAAGGGGCACGTCAGGTACCCTCTCTTCGAGTAACATGTTCATTTTTCCACTATAATCTACCTTGTCCATAATTATTATCGCATTTGCTTTGTCTGTTTCGTAAGGTGAAGTCCGGGATCTTTCCCTAATTCGTGGTATAATTTAACAAATCTTGGATAACAATTGTGTTGTAGAGGTCTGAACACAACTCAGATCTCTACAACACAATTGTCCTCAAGGATTTGTTAAGTTTTAGAATGAATTAAGGAAAGATCCTGGACTTCACCTTAGGAAACAGACGAAGCAAATGCGATAATAATTATTGAAAAGGTAGATTATAGGGGAAAAATAAACATGATTATAAGAGACAGGGAAACTTAAGAGCCTCTTAAGTCTACTGATTTTGTTGTATGACCTTCAAACATGTACATGACATGTTGTGCATGATAACATGACATGTCGTGCATAACATCTTGACGGTAGTTAGACTGACTAGAATCATTATTTTTCTGATTCAAGTCTGTGAAAGTGATTTAAGTCTGAATAATTTTTGTTATTAGGTTGATCATATAAAGTCTAAATTTATTCGATTAATTCTTTCACTGTATGAGATTTGGCTAATTCCTCAGCTATGTCAAATAATTTAAAAAGAATTTACAGAAAATGGACTTTCAACTTAATTCATTATTAAAAAAAAATCTATTTATCAGTGACTGACATTAAAAAAGCCGATTATTGAATTAAAGATAATTTAGTGATTATACAGAAAGTTATTTATAATAATGCCAAATATAAAGGCAGCTAAATCTTTTAGGGATTATTGTTTTATATCTTAGGTCACTCTGACTTAAGAATAGCGGAGATTCGATTCTCCGTCCTCTTATCGCAGCCTTATCTCTCGTCAGTCAGGTTAATTTTGCGTGGAAATAAATCTGAACAAAAATTCAGTTTGCAAGACGAGAACAAAAGTATTTAAGTGGGTTCCTCTGCCAAGGTAGACACCAACACTATATATTCCTTGAGATAGGAAGAGGTTCTGTATATATAACATTACTGTCACAAGTTTTGTCAGGAAAATAACTGCTCTTCCCTACTACGTAAGCGATTACATCATTTTAAATTGCTATATGTGCCTTTCACACACAAAAATTAAAACTACAGAATAGAGTCGCCGGTAAACTGCCGACAAATTGTTTGTTACAGCTCACATGTGATCGAAACATGTTCACTTAAAGGCTCATCTGTCTTCGTGTTTAACTCCATTTATAAAACAGTCAACCGATAGCGTTCATCCGTGTATGTGTTACTTGACAATAATATCGGCTGAACATATGCCAGCACACATGTCAGCTTTGGAATAATCGTGCTCGCTACATCTATGTCACTGTATACCAGTCAAGCGCTTGTCATTGTCACTACTGCTCGCATCAATCTTTCGTGTAGTGCTTACGTCAGCCTTTTCAGTGCTTGCGTCAGCGCATAGAACTCATTACACGTTTGTTCTATCATGAATTAGTATCTGTCAATTCACACTTTTTATGAATTCGACAGCAAAACTGGTGGAGTGCTTATTGTTTTTTAACACATCGGTCTCTTCCCACAGAGACATGATGACCCGATAAAGAAGAAACTCCTTCATTGTCACTCATTCCACCACTGTCTTGCCAAAGGCGTGCCGATACTAGAGTTCAAAAGCTGCAACATATCTCCATCTCTCCTCTAGGGTGCAGGCACTGTACTGCCTACTCCAGGACTAGTCTTGAATCCCGTCATTTGCCTACACTAGCTTCTATCACGCTCATGCACGCTTGCTGAAAATCTAAGCATTTCGGTCACAAACCTCCTTTACCCCTACCTCCAAACTTTTCTAGGACGACTACATATTTAAGCGCCCTCCAAGTCACTCTATTTTCTTCTGTAAATGTCAGAACCACTTCAACAACCCCTCTTCTGCCCTCAGAATATAATTAATGTTAAGCGTCACGGAGGCGTGGTGGAGGTGTGGTAGAAGCGTGGTGGAGGCTTGATCCTCCGTCTGAGCACAAGACAGACATGCTACCTATTTGTATTCGCCTAGATTTCAGCCCTCAGGATAATACGTTTAGTAACCCTTAGTCTCCTTCCAGTCTCCAAGTAATAATAATCACATCACACACTGGCCTCAGATACGCCTTCTTCCATGCTTCACACCCATATAAGAGCATTGGTACCATTATGCTCTCATAGATCACCCCCTCTTTTCTTCCAGGGATAACATTCTATATCTCCACAGACTAGTCACTGTACCACTCACCTTTTTTCCTCAATTCTGTGGTTCAACTAGTCTCTCATAGACTCATCTGCTGACAAGTCCACTCCCAAATATCTGAAAACATTCACTTCCTGCATACTCTCTCTTATATAATATCCAACCTTCCACTATCTAAATTTTTTGTTATCCCTATCACCTTGCCTTTCCTATGTTCATTTTTAATTTCTTTCAGTTACATACCCTACCAAACTCATCTACCAACCTCAGCAACTTCTCTCCAGAATCTCCCAATAGCACAGTATCATCAGCAAAAAGCAGTTGTGAGAACTCCCAGTTTGTGTTAGATTCTTTATCTTTTAATTCCACACCTCTTGCCAATAGCCAAGCATTCGCTTCTCTTACAACCCCGTCTATAAATATATTATAACCATGCTGACATCACGCGTCCCTGTCTAAGGCCTACTTTTAATATAAAATAATCTCCCTCTCTCTCCTGCATACCTTAACCTGAGCCTCATTATCTTCGTAAAACGTCTTAACTGCTTTCAGTAACTTACCACTTATTCCAAACACTTGCCACTTCTGGCACATTGCTACCCTATCCACCCTATCACATGCTTTTTCCAAATTCATAATTACAACGAAAACCTCTTTACCCTTATGTAAATACCGTTCACTTATATGCTTTACTGTAATTACTTGATGTACAGAATACACGAATCATCTAGTTACAATTGTTTTAAGCTTTTTTCTAAAGTATAGCAATATATATAATGGTTTTAGTAAAACCTCTCGAAGTTCACATTATAAAGCTACTTTAGGGAGATGAACGAGAATATATCGTAACTAGACAGTGACTGCAGACCCAAGAAATGGTTGTTGACTCGTAATTACATTTCAGGTGTCTGCACTAGTAGTAAAATATCTCATAACTTTTAGCTTTTTTTTTTGAGAAAAGCGCAGAAAGAGACTATGCTACTCGATACAGGCTTGTTGCGGATCTTGAAACATTGTTAGTGGTGCGCCAATAAGAAACAAAATGACTTGGAATTAGGTTATGGAGCGCGGTGAAGGATCCCGACGCTCTCAATGATTGCTTTGATCTACTAACGCAAGGAATAATTTTTAAACAACATCCAGTGTTAGCTAAAAACAGCCCTGCATATTTGTAGCTTATAACATGACTCCTTTGAATCGACACGTTTATTTAACATTTGATGAAATCTTTTCATCTTCTGTTTTTATCGAAAAGTCTTTACTGTCTATCAAATATTCCTACAAGAAATTTTACCCGAAAATATTAAAGTGTAACACATTGCTACTAAACAAGAAAATATCTTTTTAAATAAAACTGCATACGAACATATACAAAATATCTGATTCCATATAAAGACTTTTTTTCGACAAGATTTGTGTGTGTTGTCGAAGCCGAGTCGCAGTTGGTGGCCTCGACTAACTTATCAGTGACAATTTTTTGTTTTCGTTACCTTAAATTATTTAATAGATAGCGTCTTCAGAGTGTGTATTAAGCTTATATTCTCTAGGGAGACGAAAAACTAAATTATTAACGTTTACAGCTCCACATCAAGCAAGGTCATATAGTACTCCAGTATTACATTATCCAGTATTACATTATTCAGTATTACATTATCTAGAATTTATAGACAGAGTTAGAATATTATCCTTATTATTGTAACCAGAGGAAATGCTCAGCCCGTAGGGGGTCATACAACGCATGATGAATGGAAGATAATCAGGTTTGATCCAAGAAAGGGGAGAATAGGTTTAATTCCTTGGACAATAGTCCCATCATCAGCGTCAAGGCACCAACTTTAAGAAATTTCAAGGAATTTCGACACTGCGGCTTTTATATAACAAAGATTCGTTCACCTCGATGAAACAAAATAATGCACGAAAGTTCCTAATTTCATTAGTTAACTTAGGTTTCTGGGACTCACAGAGGCAACTTTATTTCAAGTTAATATAAGTAAGTATTCTCAAAATATCGTCTCTAAACATTAAAAGGGAAAACAGTACACAGGAAAATCCATAAAAAATATTTTAATTATATGTAAGAGTAATTCTCCTCTTCCATGAAGGTCTAAGGAATATATTTCACATGAACAGAAACGAATATGAAAAACACAGTGATGTGATTACAATATAGTATACCTTTTTTTTCTCTCATTTATAATATTTTTCAGTGCTGCTTTTTCTCCTCACACTCTATAATTCTAATTACTTATTTTAATGTAAAAAAAGCTTGTTTTTTTTATTTGCTGTCATGCAAGACAAAGTCATCCACGGCGTTTATTTGACAAAGATTTTGAGCTCATACACAACCTGTATATTTCAAAGCATTATATTTTTTTAAGAATACTGTTCTCTATATATTTTATTGTTATTTTCTTCTATAAAATTATTCACATTGTAGATTCCTTTTTTGATACGTCGTGTTTTGTATTTTGCAGGCAGACATCGACGAAAAGACAATGCACGGTAAGTCCTCCCGACTTGAGCTGAACCTCGGGCTCTTTCAACGTTATTAAAAACACTTTTCTTTATTATGAATTTAGCTTTTTTATGAGAGGCAGTTCGAGGGAGGTGTTCATGCGAGCGGTACAAAGTAACAAGGCAGTTGGCCCTCAGTGTTAAGCCTGTATACTGCAGACCCAATGAGTGCAATCTGCATTCCCAAGTACCTATTTACTGCTAGGTGGACAGTGATGGTAGGTATTAGGAGACTTGCACCTAATCTTCTCTTGCTGAAAATTGAACCTGGAACTCCGGTAGTGAGCCAAGTGCTCCTTTTTCTCTTTAATACGTTATTTTTTTAGTATTTAGTTACAGATGTTGACACAGATAAACCGGATATAGGAGAATCTTTGTGAAGACGTTTTGGTTCGACTTGACCATTAACTAGCCACACTAACACTCGATGGTAAGGGAGCCACTATATATGCTGACTCCCTTACCTTCGTGTGTTAGTGTCTAGTTAATGGTCCAAGTAGGACCGAAACGTTGTCACAAAGTTTCCGTCTCCTATATGCGGGTTATATGTTTATTGTTCCATTCACAGTGTTGTGTCTTTGTGTTCTTTATAGAGGTTTATCCTACTCGGGTTTTAAGCATTTTCCTTCCTGAAGATGGGAGCTTCAACTGTCAGGGAAGGGAGGGAACCTGTACCGGAAACCCTATTAATGGCCCGCTAGTGTTAGTGACAACCAGACCTGCACTATAATTCAGGTGTACAATGGCTCTCCTCCTCCTCCTCCTCCTCCTCTTCCTCCTCCTCCTCCTCCTCCTCATCCTCCTCCTCCTCATCCTCCTCCTTCTCCTCCTCTTCTTCTTTCCCCTCTTCTTCCCTTCTACCTCACACGAGAAGTAACAAAGCAGAGACAAAGTGTATCATGAGAAAAATAACGTAAACCCCACTAGACACAATGATTTCCCAACAATATCTCGTTACAAATTGCATACATATTAATATTAAACATACTATTGTATAAAAAATTACAAGAAATACATTAGAGACACCTGTGACATTTTAGAACGATACTGTATATATTTTTAATCAAGTTTTGAGGTTTGCTGTTACGTGGAAAGTGGCGATAAATTTTGAAGGCTGACAGGCATCACCAGCGAAAATCTTTCCGACAGTAGATTTGCTCTTCCTACTGAGTTTGGTAATGTTGGCAAACAAGGCGAGAACAGTTTTCATGTCTGTTTACCTTGAATGACAACAATGACCTGTACAGAGCAGATAAACCTTTAAAAGGTACTTGTTAAAACATATAGACAGAGAATGTGAAAATTTATATGGAGTATATTATGTGTAAGATCGTTGCGATCCACAATAATGTGTGCATAGTGTATCGGAGTTAATAAACTAGGAATTCACGTGAGAGAGAATTTTTATATATGAAAATGTACATAAAAAATAACTATAAAGAGAATATATTTCTAGCTTTCAGGTTCTGGACCAATTAACAAATATATCTGAAATCTTTTTTTGTCTGTGCATCCCGTGATGGTTCATAAAGAGACATGCGCCGGAATTTATATACGAATTTTGATAATTTACATAGCACAGTGATGCATCGATTATTCAGCAACTTTGTCAGTCGAAGATTATATATACTTGTCATACATCCGCAAGTTGCAACTATCAAGTTATTGACATGAAAATCAACAGTATTACACAAGCTAAGAATTCACTCGTCAGTTAAAAAAAAAGTCATTATTTAAATATCAAAGGACTATCCCCTGACATTTTTTTCTAGATTCTGTCATTTATAAAACCTCTCTTGAAGCCAAAACGGCCGAGGCCACTGACACACTATGAAACATAAATGATACAGAGAAGCCCAAGAACACCCATAAGTATTTGACCGAGAGAATTAATCCCACATTTATAAGTTTTGTATTAAGACCGTCAAACACCCACAGCACTTAAATGCTCTGAAATATACTGTTTATTGGTATGGCCCCCACTTCCCAAGAACAAAGCAATGAAGGGCTTGTAAAAGGTCAGGATGAAGCAAAAGTTTACTTCAGACCATTCTGGATGTAGCAACCACTGCCTCAGCCTTCCGCAGCTCACATCCTGGGATCTCAACATGGCTGCCACCAAACGACTGCCACTTCCTATCGTCAGGAGTGAAGACAGGTGAGCCACATCTGTTGCATCTGAGCCACAGGGTGATTGTAAACAATTTTGTGTATAGGAGAGCATATCGTAAGTTTTTTCTTCTTTTATGATAAGGTACACATGTAACAATAATAATGTACGTAGGGGTGCACATGTTACAATGATTCCTCCAGATAGGTCACCTGCGATGATGATTTATGTAGTGGTGTACATGTCGCGATTATTTGTGTTGAGGTGCGCATGTCACAATGTTTTGTGGAGAGGCGCGAGTATGTCGCAATAACTTGTGTAGAGGCACGAGGGTAACAATGACTTGTGCAGAGGAGTGCGCTTGTCCTGACGATTTTCGTGTGAATACTGTCGGAGTCTGAGAACACAAAGGGTAAAGGGAAATCAGCACTTTCAACATAATAAATTGCAATGAAAAAAACTAATTAATGAAAGAAAAATAATAAATGACTCAGTAAGCACGCATCTGAAATATATTTCAGTTCCTGGATATTAAATGAAAAAGTTAAGGTATACGAGGAAAGTGAATGATGGACCAATACGCGAGTGCTAGACCTGGCACCTCTCTTAGAAAAGGTTTAAAGGAGTTGAGGTAAAAGTAGCTGAGGAAAAGAAAATAGTGTAGGAGATCGTGTATAGCTGAAAGCATGATAGTAAATGACAGGCAAGAAAATGAATCAGTGACGGGGCTAGAAGAAAAGAGAAATGTAATGAAGGAGAGAGGAATAGCATTATTTTACTAACATTTGTTCCTACACATTATGTGTTCTGTAAAGGTGTTATTAGAACGCTCTTGCGATACAAAAGTCAGTTTTCCATAAGCATAACAAAATTTATCTGCACTGTTTATGAAATTACGTGGCATCTTTGTCCAAATTTGACTAGAAAAAGTCAATGTCAAAAATCAAGCTCGAAAAAGAGTTTGACTCGTGGGCACTGTATGACTTCCGAATAAAAACAAAAACAAACAGTGCCCAAATTAAAGTTGCATAATTGGTGGTCCATCGCCCCCCCTCTAAAAAAAAAAACTGTCCCGATATACGTAAAACTAATGTCTGTTGAGACCATTGAATTAAAAATAACCGGATTTCCCTTCGAAATCCGGTGAATATTATTGCTTTAGTTCAGCACACCAGTCGTCCTCCATCTGACGTTTTACAGTCGATTTTATAGCTAGTCATGAGGTGGACAATAAGAGGGACAAGAGAGTGAGGGGCGAGAAAGTGAGGGAAGACAAAATGAGGGGAGAGAAAGTGAGGGGAGAGGAAGTGAGGGAAGAGAAATGAGGGGAGAAAGAAAATGAGAGGAGAGAGAATGAAGGGCTAGAGAGTGAGGGGCTAGAAAGTGAGGGGCGAGAAAGTGAGGGGTGAGAAAGTGGGGGAGAGAAAGCGAGGGAGAGAAAGTGAGGTGAGAGAAAGTGAGGGGGAGAGAGTGAAGGGCTAAAGAGTGAGGGGCTAGAGAGTGAGGGGCTAGAGAGTGAGGGGCTAGAGAGTGAGGGGCTAGAGAGTGAGGGGCTAGAGATTGAGGGGCTAGAGAGCAAAGCCAGAGAAAATGAAGGGGCAAAAGAATGAGGGGAATGCGAGAGAGAGAGGACGAGAGAGAATGCGGGGGCAAATGAGTGTGGGAGTAAATGAGGGAGAGCGAGGAGCGAGTGGGTGGTTGAGAGAATGAGTGATTGGCAGTTGGTAACAGGCGAGCGAGTACAGATGAGGATTTTTTCGCGTTAGTTTAGCTCAAGGTGCTCACGATTGTGTGACTAGTAACGTCAGTGTTCCTCTCCCACGCACCTGATGATGTGCTTGGCGCAGCGCAGGGTGGCCGGTGGCCAGTATGCTGGTCAGGGTAGTTTTGGCTGGGCAGTCTTATCAGGAAAGTCTTGGCCAAGTTGTCTTTGCCGGGTTGTCTTGCTTCTTTCCATTTCAGCTAACGTGTGCAAGCTTCATTTGATTGTTTCTTCTGGTTGTGGCATTACTTCGAGTTTGAGAGTTGGTTTTGAGGCTTTTTATGCTGAAGTGATCAAGGTTCCAGGAGAGAAACGTTTTCTGATAAATATGTCCTAGTGTTTTTCTAGACCAGCTTGTCGGTATTTATTACCAAGGTTTATACCATTCCTTGACTCTACCAAACTATGGTAGACGCCAGCTTGTAACAAGGAAATGTATTAAAAATGTTCTTTCACAAATCATACCACGGGCGGGGTTAGAACCCGCGGTCAGAGAGTCTTAAAACTCCAGATCGACGCGTTAATCGCTGGGCCAGCTGGCTACTATAAAATTCATCCAACTGGATATATTTATACACCATAGGAAGGGTTGCATAAGCACCACTGTGACCACAATTGCAAGTTTTTTACAGTGGTGCCTATGCTAACCTTCCTATTGTGTATAAATATACCTAGTTGGATGAATCTTATTGTGGCTAGCTGGCCCAATGGCTAAGGCGTCGGTCTGGAGCTTTAAGACTCTCTGATCGCGGGTTCTAACCCCGCCCGTGGTATGATTTGTTTGCAATCGTGTCATTACGATTTCGTGAATCATGTTCTTTCACAGTTTTCCCCCTATACTTTTTTATTTTATTTTTATTTTATTTATTAATTTGAACATGATACATAGAAGTATAGAGAAATACAGTGGTTTAGTGTAACATGCCAAAGCCCCTTGTATGCAGAGCATTATGGGCAGGCTTAAAATTAACTTAAGATTAACTAAGCAATGATATATTCAGTGAACATTATTGTAAACAAATAACAATTAAGCACAAATGAGTATTTCAAAGACAGGTCATATGGTCATTTACTGTGTTGCTGAACATTCAGTAGAAAGGAGTATTCTGTTAGGTAATGTAATTAAAAATAACAAGGTTTGATTTGGTCACAGGTTAAACATTTATGAGATACAATTATTCAGTATATATTTAGTTGAGGGTGAGTAAGTGATTTTTAAGAAGAGACTTGAATTTATAAACAGACAGTGTTTCTTTTATATTCACAGGTAATGAATTCCAGATTTTTGGGCCTTTTATGTGCATTGAGTTTTTGCATAGTGTGAGATGGACACGAGGAACATCAAAGAGTGATCTGTGCCTTGTGTTATGGTCATGTGTTCTGTTGAGGTTGGTAAGGAGACGTTTGAGGGGAGGGTTTATATCCGAGTTAAGTGTTCTATGTATGTAGTAGGTACAATAATAAGTATGGATGGTTTGTATAGTGAGTAGGTTTAAAGTTTTGAATATTGGTGGAGTGTGCTGCCTGTAGTGGGAATTTGTTATCATTCTGACTGCAGCCTTTTGCTGGGTGATTAGTGGTCTGAGATGGTTTATTGTTGTTGAGCCACATGCACAAATTCCATAGGTGAGATAGGGGTAAATAAGTGAGTGATATAGGGCCAGGAGGGCTGACTGTGGAACATAATACCGTATCTTCGATAGTATGCCTACGGTCTTGGAATTTTTTTTGGAAATTTGTTGTACATGTGTTTGAAATTTGAGTCTATTATCAAGGTGGATTCCTAGGAATTTTCCCTCTGTGAGTTTTGTGATAGGTGATCCGTTTATCATTATGTTAAGAGGGACATCTGTAGCTCTGTTACCAAACTGAATGTAGTAGGTTTTGTCAATGTTGAGAGTAAGTTTGTTAGTCATCATCCAGGTACTTTACTGTATATAAAGTGGTACATTACATAATTAATTTTCAGAGAGTGAAATCTGTTATAATTTAATGTTCTTCATATTTTTTTATAGTCATAATTCTTGTATTCTGTTTAGCTTTATCATCTATTATTCAATATTTTTTATAAATCGTTTTGTGTCATATTTATATAATTTATTATCTACCACATTTCACTTATATAATGTAATATTATCGATTAGGTAACAAATGGACTCCAATGGAGTTAAGTCACTCTGACTTTTATGGGTTATCCCAGGTTCTCTACACAATGGAAATAAGTCACTCTGTCTGACTTTTTTGGGTTATCCTAGGTTCTCTACACATATGCTGCTATGTATGATAATTATATGTAACGGTATTTGTGTATACCTGAATAAACTTACTTACTTACTTACTTGCTGCTATGGGTGTTGGTTGACTGGTATGGGTCGCATCCTGGGACAAAACTGATCTAATTTCTCGAAAATGCTCAGGATAACAAGCGGCTTTCTATATAGCAGCATGTCATTGATGTCAGTTATGATCTGTATACTTGCAGTAAATAAAGATATTATTATATTATTATTACTTACATCAAAGTAAATAAACGTCAGTGACTGTATGCACCTCGTTTTCTTTAGAAGCGATTATAGAAAACGTACCAATATTTTGCTGCTATCATGAATACCTGAAGTAAATTTGCATAAATATTTAATTAAATTTAAATTTACGTATATGTCCATTTTCAATTGATTTATATATTTTTCAGTTACTGCATTTTGAGTAATGTTAACGAATTGTGTTTGGCAAGCCGAGAATTATCCAACAAAGCCAAATAGGATTGTTTCCAATATTTTTTTTAATTAAAATTTAATTCAGAGCTAAAAAATCAAGGTTATGTATACCGAGGGGTGTATGTCTCTCACAGAGGATATATACTTTAAGGGGTGTATATTTTTCAGCGTATATGCTGAGAGTTTAGATTACCATCACGACAAGTGTCTCACTCACTCGATAAACTAAAATTTTCCTCTCACATTCCATTACAGAAAATAAAAAAAAAAACATTAAATTTGCAAGGCTATTTTTTGGATCACAAGTATTTCTTGATCAGTCCAAAATTCTAAGTAGAAATTAGTATTAATCTAGTAACATGAACTGGGAGGATGTAAGGAAAGTTGCCGATTTTCTTTAAAAAAGTTAACTTTCACCGTCCCTACCCAAGTTACAGATTTTTTAATTTCGTTTGCATAGTAGGTTCTTGACTCCAAAATTATAATCAAAGTTACTTGTATCTTTGATTATAATTTACGGGATTGTAATTTCACTGGAAACTGTGCAAAATATCAAACATAATTAGGAAAACAAAACGAGAATGAAAACCCTAAAAGGCAAGTCATTGACATTCGGAAAGCTTTCTTTAATGTGACCATTAAGAAATGCTCATAAAAATACTGTGTATGGAGTCAGGTTCGTGTCCTCGGTTGACGCAATGCTGTTTAACGAAGTAATATATGATCATAAATGACACAACGTCGCCCACATCGTTAATAAACATAAGTGTTATCCAACCTTCCTCATGACGGTAGGTGCTAGGTAAGGAAAACAAGTTTATGTACATGCCACTAACATGACTCAAGAAATCGTAATGACACGATTGCAAACCAACCAACCAAACCGCGGGTTCAGTCCCGGCCGGGGGTATGGTTTGTTTACATGCCACTGTAGTAAACAAAAGGAAAAGCATGTCACAGACTGGAGAACATGAATATCTAAGAGAATAAGAAGTAATTTAGATTTACAGTCAGTTTTGAATTTAATTGGGCAAGATTGTTACAGGCATTATTGGGGGTATCCAATGTCCCAGGACCGAAATGTATAATATAAATGTTTTAAATGTACGCACTTATCTTTTTATCCATATTTTCGGTTTCGTTATATGGTTCTACTGCAGATATTTTCCCCGTTTACCGCAGTCCTATGCATATGGCATGTATATTCAGTGCTTTTCTTACCCTCCACTCTTTGTCCATGCCCTCTGCCTCTATGATCTGTCTTTACTATCCTCCTATTCTCACTTTTGCTATCTGTTCTTCTGATGTATTTACTCACGTTTAGATTCTCTTATCACAGTTTCTCGTATAACCTCCTTCCACACTATCCTTCTTCCTTCCTTTCACAGTATCCTCATCTATCTTCCCTTTTTCTCTCCCTGTAACAATACCTTCTCTCCAATCCATTCTTTCCCTTTTCCTCGCGCTCCTGCAATTCATTGTGCATTTATTCTTGCACAGAGTCTTACATCACATTATCTCAAACCATCCGTCCTTTCCTCAGTATTTACCTCCATGTTCTTCCCTTCCTCTCTACCTTTCTACGTCCTCACTCTTCACCGTTCCTCTAAATTTGAGCGCTTTTTACCTCTTGCTTGCTCTCGGCAGCCCTGCGTAAGGCGTTCGCGACATTCGACAAGACTAAGAAAGGCTACGTAGAAGCCAAGGACCTGGAGGGTATCTTGAACAACATGGGCACTGCCTTCGACCTGGAAGACCTCAACGAGACCATCAAAAGAGTCGACATTGATCGTGAGTGCTATTTATTTTGTGTAAATCAATCATATGATCATTATGGTAATTATATGAAGAAATATCAAGTAACTAAACATTAATTAAGGAATATTTATTGAAGTAATAATTTTGATAAGAGTGAGGTTTTAGCTAGGCATATTAATCTCTTAATCTGATATTCAAAGCTGCATCTGTAGCCTTTAGTGCTGCTAAATTCAATGACGTTTAAACTCGTGTCTGGGTTCGTCAGTGATAACGACAAGACAGTAAGTCATTGTATGAGTGAGAAACTAGAGCATCTGGAACTAAATCCCTCATACATGTACATCATTTATGCTAAACCAAATTCTCCATCTTTGAAACTATGCATTCCTTTTCCCATCCCTTCCTCCGTTTTCTCATTCACTCTTCCCCTTCAGCCTCTGATGCTGTACTGTACACACACACACACACACACACACACACACACACACAAGTCCAAGATACCTTAGCCTCATTTTCAAATTCATTAGCTTAGCCCCTTCCTAAAGCTGCCACCTCTAGCATCACCTCGCCACCACCTCTAGCAGCACCTCGTCACCACCTCTAGCAGCACCTCGTCACCACCTCTAGCAGCACCTCGTCACCACCTCTAGCAACACCTCGCCACCACCTCTAGCAATACCTCGCCACCACTTTTAGCAATACCTCGCCATCACCTCTAGCAGCACCTCGTCACCACCTCTAGCATCACCTCGCCACCACCTCTAGCAACACCTCGCCACCACCTCTAGCAATACCTCGCTATCACCTCTAGGAACACCTCTGTAAGCAGAGATTCTGTGTTACAAGGCAAATGAGCTTAATGAACGGCTGTGGACAACACCATGAAGACAAAATCTCACACAACATAGAAAATCTAATTAATAACAGAAGAAATATACTCAGTAGAAAAGGACAGAACATTAAAAGGTTGATTTCATTTGCTGCAAGCAATGAATTTCCTAATGTACATTGACCAAGTAATAACAGGTGGACCCAGGAGGATAGTGTGACTCGTATATAAGTCACTGCCAAGTGGCAGGAGACCAAGACGGGAATATATTTATATGCATCATCCATGAGACAATGATATAGATAACATAGAACAGTTGCTCTGACCGCTACGAGAAAGGATGCGAAGCAGTTAATACTTGGAAAATAGATTTGGAGGCAAGACTCAACACACAGCCTTGTTTCTCCGCTTGTTGCCAAGAGACGTGGTGAGTCAGGTTATTATAGGTTAGGTTTGGCTTGGTAAGGTTAGATTCTCGTCTCTTAATAAAAATTAAGCAATTATAATATATAAGTGCCAATAAGTGAAATACTACACAGAACTAATAATTTTTCGAGTTGCGAACTGAAATAGGAACCCATCCAGCGCACTCTGCAATATTCGTTACCGGTTAAGCGTCATGTAACAGTCACCCATCCCACTGTCATGGCCACTAGTTAAATACTGACTTAAATTAGGAGTATGTCTAATTGAACTCAGTATATGCCTGTCTACCTTCTTCTATTTGGCTGCCTACCTCCTTCCTTTCCTGACTGTGTCTACGTCTCTCCTTCCCTGACTGACTGTTTGCCTTCCACTTTTCTTATCGACATCCCTACCTTCTTCCCTGTCTGTCTGCTTGTCTTCGTGCCCGAATGCCTACCTGCTTGCCTTCTTACCTCTCTGTTTATCTACCTGCCTACCTCTTTCATCCCCTCCCTCCTTCCTGCCGCCTACCTGCCTGCCTTTCTACTTTCCACTCTTCTATCCTTCTCTCAAAATCTGCCCTCCTTCTCTCTAGCCTACCATCCTTTCTTCCCTCTCCTCCTCCCTCCGTCTGCCCTATGCTCCTTTCTTCCCTCCCTCTCTCTATCCTACCTTCCCTCCCTCTACCCTATCATCCCCTTCCTTTATCATTCTCCCCTTCCTCTATCATTCTCTCCCCTATCTCCCTGCCTTTCCGCTTCCCACTATCCTATCCACTCATCCTGTCCCTCTCTGCCTGCTTGTCTCCTACAGTCCTTCCCTTTCTTTCTCTATTATTTCCTCCATCTACCTTTCCTTCTTTTCTCCTTCTTGCCCATATAGCACTTTCTTTCACTTCTTGTTTATCTTCCTTTCTCTCCTCCTGCTCCCCTCTCTCTAACTCATTTTCCCCTCTTCTGCCTTTTTTTCCACTCATTCCCCCGTTTTGCTTCCTTCTTTAACTCATTCTTCCTCCTGCTCCCTTCCTAAACTTATTTCCCCTCCTGCTTTCTTCCTGAACTCATTCTCCCTCCTGTTGCCTGCCCTAACTCATTTCCCCTCTTGCTCTCTTAACTCATTACCCTGTTCTGCTCCCTTTCTTCATTCATTCCTTCCCTCCTTACCTCACCAACATCCGATCTCTTGTCTCCATACCAAATGACTTCCTGCCTATCATTCACATCTGTTTGCCTTCCTCCTTCTCCACCTTCCTTCTCATCTACCTGCTGTCTTTCCTCCTCTCCTCCCTCGCAACCCTCCCTCCCTATCATCATCTCTCCCACTGATATCCTGAAGGGATATCTTGCAACAAGCTGCATCATTGATTATCAGATCGAACCCAGATGCATCCATGATTAGTTGCAACAATGCACTTGCTAAGAAATATATATTTTCGTTGAGGAATTGGAGAGGGTGTACAAAATGGTAGGAAAAGTGAAGAGGGGAGAGAGAGAGAGAGAGAGAGAGAGAGAGAGAGAGAGAGAGAGAGAGAGAGAGAGAGAGAGAGAGAGAGAGAGAGAGCAGAGAATGAAGAGAAAGTAAAGGGGGTGGCGAGAGAGGGTGAGATGGAAATGAAGAGTTGGATGTAGAGTGTGGGTACTCGGTCAACATGGTAACTTGGACACCGTAGACTAGAGGGAGCTGGTGCATTCCACTGGAGTTGAGAGAGTAATATTAGAGTTCATAATCAGTCGAGGATACCTTGCATACCCGTAAGAGTATTTCATTTCTATAATAATTAATTAAATAATTATTTACCCTGTACCGCCAGAAATAATTTCAAATTGTTAAATATCGACTAAAATAATAGAATTTATAGTTTTGTTTATGATATGAATATATGTATGTGTGTGTACTCACGTAGTTGTACTCACCTAGTTGAGGTTGCAGGGGTCGAGTCCAAGCTCCTGGCCCCGCCTCTTCACTGGTCGCTACTAGGTCACTCTCCCTGAACCTTGAGCTTTATCATACCTCTACTTAAAGCTATGTATGGATCCTGCCTCCACTACATCACTTCCCAAACTATTCCACTTCCTGACTACTCTGTGGCTGAAGAAATACTTCCTAACATCCCTGTGATTCATCTGTGTCTTCAACTTCCAACTGTGTCCCCTTGTTACTGTGTCCCATCTCTGGAACGTCCTGTCTTTGTCCACCTTGTCAGTTCCTCTCAGTATTTTGTATGTCGTTATCATGTCCCCCCTATCTCTCCTGTCCTCCAGTGTCGTCAGGTTGATTTCCCGTAACCTCTCCTCGTAGGACATACCTCTTAGCTCTAGGACTAGTCTTGTTGCAAACCTTTGCACTTTCTCTAGTTTCTTTACGTGCTTGGCTATGTGTGGGTTCCAAACTGGTGCCGCATACTCCAATATGGGCCTAACGTACACGGTGTACAGGGTCCTGAACGATTCCTTATTAAGATGTTGGAATGCTGTGTGTGTGTGTGTGTTTGTGTGTGTGTGTGTGTGTGCGTGTGTGTGTGTGTGTGTGTGTGTGTGTGAAGTATATGGGAGAACGAACGGTTGACCTTGAATATGCAAATATATGTCTATACATATGTAGCCAAAGATACATGGTAAGACCTCCATGAGGGAAACAGTAACTGTTGTTCAAGCTGCTGTTATACACAACTTCCGACCCCAGAGGAATTTCGTGGCTGCCGTATCAGATCAAGTGTCTATCAGTCCTCTCAGTGAAGTGGAGATTTTTCCATGTCGTAATGACAACAAATTTTAAGGGGTACCTGGAGTTTACCTGGAGAGGGTTTCGGGGGTCAACGCCCCCGCGGCTCGGTCTTAGACCAGACCTCATGGTACATTCGCAGATTTTTGACTCTTCAAATTTAGCTACACTGTGTTCGAAAGAACTGGTTGTGGTAAAACTATAAAAGTGGTTCGAGCAAAAGTTACTGCTGCACAGACTTCTGCTGGAGGATCTGTGGCTTTGGATTCTTTCATTATTTCTAGCTTTTAGTTTTCGTGATCAAACCTCCACCATATTGCAGACATATTCACTATATGATTAAATAAATAGTCAATAGAATCATTAAAACCATTTTCATATTAGGGTTCCAAGTCATGAGTCATGACTCATTTGACGGCAGGAAAAATCTTCCTGCTATTTAGGTGGAAAAATGGGCTGCTGGGATCTCTCGTCATGAAGGTTTTAAAGCTCCCACTCCTTTCATTCTTCCTTCCCTCCATCCCACTCGTCTAACCTTTCCCTCTTCTTTTCTCTCATCCCCCCCTCCTTTCATTCGTTCTTAATTTTTCTCTTTATCGCCCTCTCTTCATCCTACTCTTCCTCAGTCTTCATCCTTCCATTCCTCTCCCATTCTTTTTTCTTTTTCTAAATTCTTTCCGTCCCTCCCTCACTTCTTCCTCCCCTCTCTACCTCTCTCTTCACTTCCTTCCTCCCTTAACTCCTTCCCTTCTTTCCTTCTCCTCCTTCCCTCCCCTCTACTACACAGCTAACGTGCACTTTCATCTCCACAGACGACGGAAAGATCAACTTTGACAAATTCGTCATTATCGCCTCCAACTTCCTGCAGGAGGACGACGAGGAGACTATCACCAACGAGCTCAAGGAAGCATTCAGACTCTACGACAAGGAAGGTATGAAGAGAGATAAAGAAGGAGTTGAAAGAAGGAAGACGGCAGCTGTAGGAAGACAAGGATGATGGGAATACAGGGGAAGGTAGGAAAAACAAGTGAGGAATCGTGGAAGGTAGGAATCTAAGAAAAATAAGACAGGGGTGGAAGCATCCAGAGAAGGTAGACAAGGAAGGAAGGAAGTAAGGAAGGAAGGAAGGAATTAAGGAAGGAAGGAAGGAAGGAATTAAGGAAGGAAGGAAGGTAGGAAGACAAGGTACGAAACAAAGGAAAGAAAGGATGGAAGGTTGACAGAAGGAAGGAAGACAAGGATGAAGAGAGAGAGAGAGAGAAGAAGAAGAAGAAGAAGAAGAATTGGGATAAAGTGAAGAATAAAGCTGGAAACGACGACAGAATATGAGGAAGGATTCGAGGAAATAGTTACATCGGAAGAGAAAACAAAGTCTGTGACAAAGGCAGACTAGTGAGAAGGGGAAGAAGAATAACTATGACCGCGTGGATCATATAGTGTTATTGGCAATAACAATAAATACAACTCACAAAAATTAATGATGAAAGAAAAAAAATCTAGCGTGTATTCACGCACAATGCAAATACTATCATAATAAGGTATCACTAAAAAATCCCAATAGACTGTTCTGAAGTTTCTCCGAGAGGTAAGTAGCTAAGCCCCCAAAATTTATGAAAGCCATGACGAAAATGAAAAGGCTTAAACCGTGGTAAAACAGTTACTGTGTGTGCCTAAGTCAGATGGATGCCACAAGTTAAACAGAGGACGGCAGGAGCGCCTACAAACAAATAATGATGAATGATATGTATGTGTACTCGTTCCTCAAGCGACAGAAATTCGTATGAAAATGGAAAATCTTGTTGAAAGAGAAGGGCTAAATACCCATGTCCTGCTGAATCTTGTAGCTTCTCCCATGGGCCTGCTACTTCCTAAGGACATATCTGAATGTGGCATGAAGCTGCGAAGGCAGAAGTTTGCTATAGAACGAGCTTGTTAGATCAGCATCGGCCTGTTCCAACAGAACTTCATATCCTCCTGGATCTCTCTGACCACAAAGTGGACAGAAGCATACTGAGTCAGGGCAAACAGATAACGCTGGGAATATGAGAGAAAAAAGACAACATAAAATAGTACGTAACTCGCCATTTTAAACATAGTTCAACGTAATTCTTCTTGGCTTTCTATCAAAATGGTTGTCAGTTTTGTTTTAATTAAGACTTCTGCCTTCCTCTGAAGAGTATAAAAATAATTATTTTTCGGCTTACAGAAGATAACGAATTAGACACATGTACATTTAGATCCTTATTTTAAGGCGTTTCGACCAGTGGCTGTATCAGCTCAGATGAGCTGTGCTGGCGGATTTTTTGAAAGTTCAAAGAAAAAGAGATGTATAGACGTGAACTACGTGGTGGATCTCCGACTATCACACAGCTACTTTCATTTTACTCTATGATTCCAGAATTATGGGACACCCTGTAGTCACTTTAGCATACACTACAACACAACCATAATATTATTATTATTATTATTATTATTATTATTATTATTATTATTATTATTATTATTATAATCAAGGGGAAGCGCTAAACCCGTTGGATTATATAGCGCCTGTGGGGGGGGATGTGGAAGGCATTCAGGCTTAATTCGGGGAACTGGAGCACAGATCCATTTCCCTAGATCAAGAGCCCCTAACCAACATCAAGGAACCTTCCTTGAGGGGCATAACATCATGAGACAATAAGAAAAGGAATGAAGGAGGATGGGAGAAGAAAGGAGAGGAACGTAAAGAGAAAGACTGAGAGGGATGGTAATGTTTACTGTCTATGACAATATATCTCATTAAAATGTGTCACTTTGAATGCATCCCGGAAAACAGGGAACGAATTATCTTGGTTCGGTGTCTCATGGCTGTCGACAAAAATCTGGTTCACATTATTGTTTATTGCATCTGGAAATATTTTCTTTATATTACTCTTCTCTGCAATTGAAATAATTGAATTCAGTAGTAATGTTCATTACATTTGAAAAAAAAACTGTTGTTAATATTAAAGTATTAATGGTCATGGGATCTTAAGTTCTTTTATTGGAAAGTATTTATGATCTCGCATCACATTATTTATTGTACATCTTCCCAATACATTTTCAAAATCAATTTGCTTGTGCATTACAAAATAACATGTCCGAAACTCATATTTAAACTTACGTACGCGCGCACTCTGTTTTTAATACGTCAGTTGTGACTTCCTCAGGCAACGGCTACATCACGACGCAGACGCTGAAGGAGATCCTCAAAGAGCTGGATAACAAACTCTCGGAGAACGACCTTAACGATATCATCGAAGAGATCGACGAGGAAGGCAAGGGAAAGGTCGACTTCGAAGGCTTCAGAGAACTTATGATCTAGCACCTTCGTCGGGTACTGAAGGACCTCCAGGGCAGGTCCTGGTGGAGGCAGTAACGGCTCATCTCGTACCGTATCTAATACAATTGATTAAAGAAAGAATAAAATATAGATGTGTGTGCACGAGCGCTACACTGGAACACTTGAGTAGGCTTCCCATATATTCATAATGTACTCGAAAACGTAGCCGCGAAGTAACTAGTGTAAATTAAAGAGACATTTCATGTGCATAAAAAATATTAAACTTTTATTAATTCTGTTACACAATATTAAATTTTCCTAATTATATTCAAAGGTTTGACTAAAAGTTCAAAATACACACACACAAAAAAAGGAATAAACATCGATAGTTTAAATCGGGAAAAACATTGTACAAATATCATCATAAGTTGATTTTTTAGTGTAAATAATGAATATGAAAATAACAATGAAAAGTAATTATTGACTTATCTACCAATATATACCTATGTGCTTAACATGTATGTGATTTTACAACAGTGTCAGCAGATAAGAATTTTTCATTGGATTTTGAATTTCATATTGTCTCTCAATATAAATATCATCGAAAATTACCTTTCGGTGATTTTTTCTCCAGCTTTAATGGTGACAGTCACATGAGAACATAACACAAATATATACCTTATGATCATTGCTTATTCTTTTCCCAAGGTCAAATCATGATAAGTTTCCTACCGATGATACGATCTTTATCTTTTTTTTTATTGGGTTGTTCAAGTTTCTAGCGCGTAGCGTATGACCTAAATGTCTGTGTTAAGTTTTGCATTTGAGTTTACGATGTACAGAACTGAACAATATGTTGTTAACCAGTAAAATAAATATATTTTTATTTTTTAAATCCTTTTCCTGGTAAATTACTGGCATAAGAGCTACCCTCAAGGCGAACGTATTTTCCCAATTACGTTTGATATCATTGAACTTACTACCTTTAACATTTCTCCACCTTTAAATAAAAACGATCTGGAATGAATAAAAAGGGCAAACAAAAGCTAAACTGTAGTTTTTGTATGCAGAAGGAAAATTAATTTGCGAAAACAGGCATATTGAGGCAATATGTATGACGCTTAAAAGGAGAATCGCCTTGACCTTTGTCAGTTTCTTCGTGGTAAACTTTCAGTGAAAAAATGTCATCAAAACTGAATAATGTGGCTGAGGCTACACTTGCCAGTGTAGCGTCACGCCTAGTAAGAAGCTGGGGAGTGAATCACTGTTGAGTGCTAAGCAGAGACGGAATGTGCGAGAGCAATCTACAGCTCATTTACTGGTGCACTGCAAAGTGCAAGCGAGAAAAACTTCACATTAAATGGTGCACAATATTTCTCTTAGAGTGGGCTATATAGACTACAAAAATATGATGAAAGTGGGAGGAGATAGAGGCATATTTATTCATCTGATTCCTGGCAACTACAGTAGCAGCAACATGGCGCCCATATTCAATTCTTTAAGCACATGAACATAAGCTCCCACATGGCTGTGGAAGGCAGGTTCTGGCAGTCCAAATTAATTGCTGTTAAAGATTTTGTTAATACTGTGGCCGCTATATGGAGTGGATATAAACTGTTTTTATTATGAGTGTTTTCATTTAAGATGCCCCAATTATTTGTTTATAACATTTTTGTCCACGGTGATGAAATTAACTCATTCTTTAAAGACAGAGGACAGGCCTCCTAGTTACAAAAAACTGCATGTATGATTTAAAACCAGTTTTAGCTTATGGACACAAAATAGGAGTCACTTTAATGAGTCATTTTTCTAATGAGGCAGTAAAAAAGGCACAAATATTTAGAATAAATATATTTCAATAAATTTTGCTGAGAATAAGAACAAATTTTGGAGGGAAATTAGTAAGTTGAGAAAGCCCTGGGAACAAATGGATTTGACAGTTAAAAATAGGAAAGGGGAGTTGGAAATATTGGGAAGATGGGAGAAATATATTGAGGAACTGTTAATTAAATGTTCATGAAGAGAGAAGAGCTGGTATTTCATGCAATGGCCAGGGAGGTATAACATCTTTTAGAAGTAAGGAAGAGCCAAATATGAGTGTGGGGGAGGTGTGTGAGGCTGAGGATAAAATTGAAGGAAGTAAAGCGGCTGGGACACAAGACAGAAGTTAAAGCAGGGGGAATGTATGAGAGAATATAGGTGTGAAGCATGGGTTGTGAATGTTGCAGCAATGAGGATTATAGAGATAGTCATGTCGTATTCGAGGGCAAAATGATATGTGAATATTTTGCCGAGAATATGTAGCTTGGAGATTAGAAGGAGGTGCAGGGTTATACAGAGGGCTGAGGTAAGGTTGTTGAGGTGGTTCGGACATTTAGAGAGGTTGGGACAAAATAGGATGACTTGGAGGGCGTAAAATCTGTAGTGGAGGGATAGGGGTCGATCTAGGAAAAGTTTGGAAGGAGGAGGTAAAGGAGGATTTTTATGTGAGGGACTTAGATATCCAGCATGCAATTGCGAGCGTGTTAGATAGGAGTGGATGGAGGCAAGTTGTTTTTACGACTGTTGGAGTGTGACATTCTACCTTCATGACTTGGGTCATGAAGGTAGAATGTACATTCCCTGCACTCTGAAGGAGGGGTAGATATATGTGATCTGTAGTATTGGCTCGCATCTAGCAAGACAGTGATGCTTTTCTTCTTTTTTTTTGTGCTGCCATATATATATATATATATATATATATATATATATATATATATATATATATATATATATATATATATATATATATATATATATATATATATATATATATAGTCGTGCCGAATAGGCAGAACTTGCGATCTTGGCTTAAATAGCAACGCTCATCTTGCCATATAGGACAAGTGAAAATTTGTGTATGCAATAATTTCGCCGAAATCATTCTGAAGCTAACGAAAAAAAATATATTTGATTGTGTTTGTTTAGTACTAAATTATCGTAAACGTATTTAAAATATATTTAGTTGGGTTAGGCTAAAATAAATTGCTCTTGTTATAATAAGGTTAGGTAAGTTTTCTAAGATTCTTTTGGTGCAAAATTGAAATTTTTTACATTAACATTAATGAAAAAAATATATCTTTAAACGTATAAGAGAAAATTTCAGGAAGGACTTAATTTTAAATAAGTTCTTGTAAATTGGCCAGTTTTACATATTCGGCACGACATATATATATATATATATATATATATATATATATATATATATATATATATATATATATATATATATATATATATATAAATATATATATATATATATATATATATAATATATATATATATTTATAGATGGGGTTGTAAGAGAAGTAAATGCGAGGGTCTTGGCAAGAGGCGTGGAGTTAAAAGATAAAGAATCACACACAGGGTGGGAGTTGTCACAGCTGCTCTTTGCTGATGACACTGTGCTCTTGGGAGATTCTGAAGAGAAGCTGCAGAGATTGGTGGATGAATTTGGTAGGGTGTGCAAAAGAAGAAAATTAAAGGTGAATACAGGAAAGAGTAAGGTTATGAGGATAACAAAAAGATTAGGTGATGAAAGATTGAATATCAGATTGGAGGGAGAGAGTATGGAGGAGGTGAACGTATTCAGATATTTGGGAGTGGACGTGTCAGCGGATGGGTCTATGAAAGATGAGGTGAATCATAGAATTGATGAGGGAAAAAGAGTGAGTGGTGCACTTAGGAGTCTGTGGAGACAGAGAACTTTGTCCTTGGAGGCAAAGAGGGGAATGTATGAGAGTATAGTTTTACCAACGCTCTTATATGGGTGTGAAGCATGGGTGATGAATGTTGCAGCGAGGAGAAGGCTGGAGGCATTGGAGATGTCATGTCTGAGGGCAATGACTCAAGAAATCGTAATGACACGATTGCAAATAAACCATACCCCCGGCCGGGATTGAACCCGCGGTCATAGAGTCTCAAAACTCCAGCCCGTCGCGACGGGCTGGAGTTTTGAGACTCTATGACCGCGGGTTCAATCCCGGCCGGGGGTATGGTTTTTTTTCTGAGGGCAATGTGTGGTGTGAATATAATGCAGAGAATTCGTAGTTTGGAAGTTAGGAGGAGGTGCGGGATTACCAAAACTGTTGTCCAGAGGGCTGAGGAAGGGTTGTTGAGGTGGTTCGGACATGTAGAGAGAATGGAGCGAAACAGAATAACTTCAAGAGTGTATCAGTCTGTAGTGGAAGGAAGGCGGGGTAGGGGTCGGCCTAGGAAGGGTTGGAGGGAGGGGGTAAAGGAGGTTTTGTGTGCGAGGGGCTTGGACTTCCAGCAGGAATGCGTGAGCGTGTTTGATAGGAGTGAATGGAGACAAATGGTTTTTAATACTTGACGTGCTGTTGGAGTGTGAGCAAAGTAACATTTATGAAGGGATTCAGGGAAACCGGCAGGCCGGACTTGAGTCCTGGAGATGGGAAGTACAGTGCCTGCACTCTGAAGGAGGGGTGTTAATGTTGCAGTTTAAAAACTGTAGTGTAAAGCACCCTTCTGGCAAGACAGTGATGGAGTGAATGATGGTGAAAGTTTTTCTTTTTCGGGCCACCCTGCCTTGGTGGGAATCGGCCAGTGTGATAATAAAATAAAAAAATATATATATATATATATATATATATATAAACCTTGTCTCTTCGTCCACAGCAGGATTCGAACCTGCAAACTCTGTATCAGAGTCCACAGTACTTTACCACGGAGCCAGGCCCCAGATAAGTATGGGCGCCTAGCCGAAGCTAGACGATATTTCCCCATACCCCGGGGCACCAGGCTTGTTTTCAAAGCTATTTCATCAAATCCTGCCACATGCAGTGGACAACAAAAGAGATTTGAAATGCTTAATAATTCGCAAAGAGGCGAAATTATTTACAAACTTAGTCTCTAAGTCCACAGCAGGACTCGAACCTGCAAACTCTGTACATGATCAACCATATAAAGAAATTAGAAAACTTCGTAGTTTTCTAATAAGATTGTTACCAGAACTGAGAGAAATCGACTCAAGAACAGCAGGACTATGATGACACTATCATGACATACAAAACAGTGGAACGGTATAGGCAGGATCCGTACATAGCTTTAAGAAGAGGTACACTAATGCTCTCGAAGTCAGGAGAGAGTGAATCCTGTAGAGACCAGCAGAGGTGGGACCTGAAGCTGAGACTCGATCTCTACAACTACACATATAGAGGAGTACATATAGGCGAGTACACACGCGAGTAACGCGCTTGCTAATTCAAGAACCTACATGCACACATGCACATCCGTGAATACACATTAATACACGGACGCGCGCACTTCCATGCATGCACACATATCCATGCGGAAAAGGTAATCAGAGGTAGCCCTGTTTGCAAATGATGTGAACTACTGAGGAGAAGACAAGCAGACGAGGACTAAGATCGGCTACAAATAGATCTGAACAGGCTGCAGATCTGATCTAACTAATATGTGCCTACTGGAATTTAACCCCAACAAGTGCTAAATTATGAAGTTTGGGCAAGGAAGACCGCAGGCGGAGTACAGGCTCTGGGGGCAAAGTCTACAAACCTCACTCAGGGAGAAGGATCTTGGGGTTAGTATTACTGAGCATATCGTCGGAGGCGCACGTCAGCCGAATAACTGCTGGTGCAAATGAGGCAGAATCTAAGGCTAAGGAATTCTCGACTCTTTTTATATTGTACATCAGGCCCGTATTGGAGTATGCATAACCAACACACACACACACCTAGAGACACACACTCAAACATATATACACAAACACATACACACGCACATATACACACACATTCACTCATACATGCACACACATACACACACACATAGAGAGTGTATGTAACTTCATCTCTCTAAGTGTATACTGCACATTGGCAGTCCTTCGTCACCTGAAGCCATTGAGTCGAATGATTTTGTAAGGATTTCAGTATTGCCGGTCATATTCTTAATAACAGCTCAACGCTGAAGAGCCACAACAAGATGGGTCAATCTCCTCTTGCTTGTCGTACTTCTGCGAGAGCTGAGGCAGTGACTGCGGGGATTCGCTTAGGTAAGATTCGTCGGCAAGCAGGAGAGTGTTGCGTGAGGAAGAGAGAGAAGAATAGCTGAAACGAAGGAGCTAGAGAGAAAGAACGAAGAGGGCGAGGAAAATAAGGATTATTATTATATATACAAGGAAGCGCTAAATCCGAGCAGATCATACAGCGCCAAGTGAAAATGATTAGGAAGAGCGGAGAGTGGCAGGACTAGAAAGAGGAGGGAGAGAGAGAAGCAAAAGAGAGGAAAGAGAGTTGAAAGGAGGCTAGATAGGTGCAGAAATAGTAGAGAAGACCAAAAGGGAGCAGAGAGAGAGAGGGAGAGAGAGAGAGATGAACACCAGAGAGGACTAGAGAACACTAAGGAGGAGAGAGAAGCAGAAGGGAAAACGGGAGAAGGAAACAGAAAGTGAGAGAAAAGTGTGCAAAAAGGAAGGGGAGAGTAAAGTAAAAGTAGAAGGGAGGGTGATAGGAGACGGGGAGAAGGAAGCAGAAGGCAGAGAGGAGAGAGGAGCAGAAAGGAGAGGGAACAAAAGAACAGAAGGGAGGGGATAGAGTAGGAGAAAG